AGGGGACAGGGATCAGGGATGGGGACAGGGAGAGGGGACAGGGTCAGGGAGAGGGGACAGGGATCAGGGATGGGGACAGGGAGAGGGGACAGGGTCAGGGAGAGGGGACACGGATCAGGGATGGGGACAGGGAGAGGGGACAGGGTCAGGGAGAGGGGACAGGGATCAGGGATGGGGACAGGGAGAGGGGACACGGAATAGGGGACAAGGCCAGGGAAAGGGGACAGGATCAGGGAGAGGGGACACGGGTCAGCAGCACCCAGGGGTGACACTGGAGTGACCCTTGGCACCCAGGAATGACCCCTCAGCACCCAGGGGTGACACTGGCACCCAGGAATGACCCCTCAGCACCCAGGGGTGACCCCAGCACCCAGGAATGACCCCTCAGCACCCAGGGGTGACACTGGCACCCAAAGGTGCCACCACGCCCCCGAAGCGTCACCTTGAAGGCCTCGAAGATCCTCTTGAAGAAGACGAAGTTGGGGTCGTAGATCTCGGGCTCCTCGCTCACGTACTCGATCTCCACCTCGGGGGCGTCCCCGGCGGGGGGCTCGGGGTCCCCCCGGGGGGGGGTCGGGGTTGGGGGCCCCTCCCGGGCCCCGCCCCTCCCCCGCTTCTTCTTCTTGCGGTTCCGGCGCTTCCGGTTCCGCTGGGAGGGGACAGGAGAGGACAGTGAGGTGAGACAGGTCCCTCTAACTGGGGGGACAAAAGGGGACAGTGAAAGGACATGGAAATGGGACAGGTCCCTCCAGCTGGGGGGACAGAAGGGGACAAAAGGGGACAGTGAGGGGACAGGGAGGGGACAGGGATCAGGGATGGGGACAGGGAGAGGGGACAGGGTCAGGGAGAGGGGACAGGGATCAGGGATGGGGACAGGGAGAGGGGACAGGGTCAGGGAGAGGGGACAAGGGTCAGAGGACAGGGGACACGGGTCAGCAGCACCCAGGGGTGACACTGGAGTGACCCTTGGCACCCAGGAATGACCCCTCAGCACCCAGGGGTGACACTGGCACCCAGGAATGACCCCTCAGCACCCAGGGGTGACCCTGGCACCCAGGAATGACCCCTCAGCACCCAGGGGTGACCCTGGCACCCAAAGGTGCCACCACCCCCCCGAAGCGTCACCTTGAAGGCCTCGAAGATCCTCTTGAAGAAGACGAAGTTGGGGTCGTAGATCTCGGGCTCCTCGCTCACGTACTCGATCTCCACCTCGGGGGCGTCCCCGAGGGGACAGGGATCAGGGATGGGGACAGGGAGAGGGGACAGGGTCAGGGAGAGGGGACAGGGATCAGGGATGGGGACAGGGAGAGGGGACAGGGTCAGGGAGAGGGGACAAGGGTCAGAGGACAGGGGACACGGGTCAGCAGCACCCAGGGGTGACACTGGAGTGACCCTTGGCACCCAGGAATGACCCCTCAGCACCCAGGGGTGACACTGGCACCCAGGAATGACCCCTCAGCACCCAGGGGTGACCCTGGCACCCAGGAATGACCCCTCAGCACCCAGGGGTGACCCTGGCACCCAAAGGTGCCACCACCCCCCCGAAGCGTCACCTTGAAGGCCTCGAAGATCCTCTTGAAGAAGACGAAGTTGGGGTCGTAGATCTCGGGCTCCTCGCTCACGTACTCGATCTCCACCTCGGGGGCGTCCCCGGCGGGGGGCTCGGGGTCCCCCCGGGGGGGGGTCGGGGTTGGGGGCCCCTCCCGGGCCCCGCCCCTCCCCCGCTTCTTCTTCTTGCGGTTCCGGCGCTTCCGGTTCCGCTGGGAGGGGACAGGAGAGGACAGTGAGGTGAGACAGGTCCCTCTAACTGAGGGGACAGAAGGGGACAATGAGGTGGGACAGGTCTCTCTAACTGGGGGGACAAAAGGGGACAGTGAAAGGACATGGAAATGGGACAGGTCCCTCCAGCTGGGGGGACAGAAGGGGACAAAAGGGGACAGTGAGGGGACAGGGAGGTGGGACAGGTCTCTCTAACTGGGGAGGACAAAAGGGGACAATGAAGGGACATGGAAATGGGACAGGTCCCTTCAACTGGGGACACAGGAGACCCCACAGTGAGCCACACCCCCTGCACTTGGAGGGGACAAGATAGGGACATTAGAGTGGCACCCAGAGGGGACAAAAAAGGGACACTAGGGTGGCCTCAGGGGGAGACTGACTGCCACAGGTGGGGGGACAAAAAGGGACATTGGGGTGACCCCAGAGCAAACCCCCCCATGACCACCGAGGGAGGGGACAATGGTGACACGCCAGTGACACAGGTGACCCCAGAGCCATCCAACCCCCCTCCCAAATGAACCCCATCCACGACCCCTCCCCCGGGAAATTTGGGGCACCCTGGGGACCCCCCACCCCCCCCCAGGTGCCAGTTTGGGTGGGGGGTGGCCTGTGCCCCACTGTCCCCTCGCTGTCCCCTCTGTCACCTCCTTTTTGGATGTCCCCGTGTCCTCCTCAGCCTCGGAGGCCGACGCCGACGCTCGCAGCTCCGTCTCCATCTCGTCCTCGGCTGGGGGGACACGGGGGGTCAGGGTGTCACCCCCCTTTGGGTGTCACCTCCCTTTGGGTGTCACCCCCCTTTGGGTGTCACCCCCACCTCTGGGTGTCACCCCCCACTTTTGGTGTCACCCCCACCCTCCAGGAGCACCCACAGGGCACCAATCCGTTTTTTAGGAGAATTTTGAGAAGATTTTGGGAGGGTGGGTGGCACCCAGTGGGTACTGGGGGGTGACACTGGGGGGGGTGACACCACCCTGAGGTGTCCCTGGCTGCACCCACGGGTGACAAACTCAATTTTTTGGGTGCGAATTCCCATTTCTTGGATGGATTTTGATGCTTTAAAGGCGTTTCCTGTGACGGGGGGCACCCAGAGGGGACCAGGGGACACCGGGGGTGGCACTGGGGGTGGCAGGGCTCACCCGAGACCCCCGGGACTGTCACCAGCTCCTCCTGGCGGCTCTCCTTGAGCTGCAGGATCTTCTCCAGCGCCTGCGGGATCTTGGGGCCCACCCCGGAGTCCTCGGCCTGGGGGGCACAAGGGGGGGGTCAGCGGGACCCCCCCCAAATCAGGGGGACCCCCCCAAAATCAGCGAGACCCCCGGGACTCCCCCCAAATCAGGGAGACCCCCGGGACCCCACCCAAATTAGGGAGACCTCCCCAAATCAGGGAGACTCCCCCCAATCAGGCAGACCCCAAAATTAGGGAGACTCCCAGGGCTGCCCCAAGAGACCCCAAAGCCACAGAGAGACCCCAGACCCACAAAGACCCCTCCCCACAATAAAAGGACCACAGACACAAAAGCTCCAAACTCAAAGACCTCCGACCCACAGAGAGACCCCAGACTCAGAGACCCCCACACAGAGCCCCCAGCTCCACAGACCCTCCCCAATAGACACCCCAGACCCACAGAGCCCCCTCCCCACAATAAAGAGACCCCAGACCCAGAAATTCTACACTCTGAGACCCCCAAAGAGCCCTCACCCCACAGACCCCTTCCCACCCTAAAGAGACCCCAGACCCAGAAGTCCCACCCCCCCGTCCCTGGGTGCCCCCCCAAACCCAGGGGTGCCCCCCCAAACCCAGGGGTGCCCCCCTCACCCGTTTCTGCTGCTCCAGCAGCTCCTGCTCCTTGGCTTTGTCCCCAAACGGGTGCTGGCCCTGGGGGGCGGGGGGAGCACAGTCAGGACCCCCCCAAGGGGGCCACCCACCCCTCAACACCCCCAAATCCCACCCCAAAACCAGCCCTCAGCTCAGCCCCTATATGGGTGCCCCCCTCAAGGTGGCCCCATCCCCTCCAACACCCCTCTGGACCCCTTTAAACACCCCCAAACCC